CACTGGCATAAACACGGATTTTGTATAAAAATTCACATTACTGAAATGTTCGTACAAAAGACAGTTTGTTCAGGGAGGACAGGTAGAAAAAGGGTCTTTGGTGAGATATTTATCAAAGATCTTTATTTTTTTTCTGATCTCCAGCATATTGTAAGAGAGGGACCTGCTGAAAGTCTCTGGGTAATGACGGAATTGGACATGAAAATGGACATTGTCGTGGTGGGCACCTGTAACAGATGGTCACACTAAGAAGACTGGGTGGCGAAGCTTGCTTACTTGCCCAGAAAACTTTTCAAAAAGGAATAGAGCAGGGCACAGAATACTTCAGCTTCTTAGCGGGCAACATTCAGATTTACAGTATGTGCTCTCTACTTTATTGGTGATTGGATCAGAAAACAGACACCTATTTCACGTAAAAGGTCTGGACCTGTGAGCAGGCTTATTGTTTTTTCACACTGTATCAATTCCTGCAGCAGCCAAGAGAAAGGATCTTGGCCTATGCAAAATCCTTAATCATGGTTTGTATCACTGAACTAAATCTGCTTATGAGGGAGTCGCAACCGTTAAAGGGCAGCTGATATTACAAGAAGTTAACCCCCGTCTTAAAAAAAAGTCACTTAAAAAGTAAAAAGGCCAAGTTATAATTTAAAAAATTGAATTAATTTTCAACCAATTAGTATTTTCAAGTGTGAGCTGCAGTAGTGTCTGTCTGAATACAAATGGGAATGAAGGGTACTCCAAGCCAAGGGGAGACCTTAACACGGACATGGAATTGGGGAGAAGTTACTGCAGAATGTATTCCATTATGCCACGGAGAGCGTGAGCCCCTGCTCAGAATTACAATGATTCCTTGAGAAAGAGAGTGGCAATGAGTTACCGTTCCCAGGAGCTTCTACAATTTCCATGCTACTTAGCATTACAGGCTCGTACATCTATCATACCTCACCTTCAGCAGCAGCCAAGCTATGCGGTATACGGTGTACTACTAAAAGAACAGGGAAGGATTTAATTGCCACAAAGGCCATCAGTCCTGTCAGGAATAGTGGTTCCTGAAACCCGATCTCTGCTTCGAAAACTGAACCTGCAGAATTTTCAGCAGAAAGGAGCATTTTAAGAGCGGAAATATTACACTGAGATCTCACTGACCTATATAACACCCTGCAGAATAAAACACTGATCCAAACAGGTACTTCTAAATATACTAATATAAATAATCTCAAGAAGGACCACAGATAAGCTATTCTATGTACTAATAGTTTCTAGAAACACTAACCTTCAGTATCAGCAGTTTGTGAAATAATTTGTCCTGTGAGCTCCATGCCATATGTTTTATTCAGGCATTAACACCTACTTTGTGAAAATAAAGCTGTCAGAATGTGAGCTACCACATGCAATATCATTCCCACAGGCCATACAGTAATTAAACATGGAGGCTGACATTGCACCGTGCGGAATTCTGGTTGTGTATAACAGCTATTAAAGGACTTACAAAAATCCAGGTTTAGAAAAAATGCCGGCTTGACTCTAGACAACACCTACATATGGCTGAAGCCCCCCTGAAAAAAATCTATCATGCACTTAAGTGTTCATTTGAAAGAGCTTAAAGGATGAGGAAAGTGTAGCAGTAGCTTTTAGGTCCTCCTTTTTAGAGCTCTCATGAGCCATCCCTACCCGGCCAAAACATCCTAGTGGAAAAGCCATTCTGCATGGAGTAAAAACAGCTGCATGTTCAGAGCAGACTTGTAAGTCTACATTCTCTTTTTCTGTCTCAAAAATTGTATCTTAGGTTTCTGCTGTTGACAAACATAACTGTTAACTAAATGGAAGTTCCTCCTATAGATGACTAACATTTAGTCACTAGTGGATTCAGACAGTTCCTCAATGAAGTTGTAAATTTAGGTAATTTCTCTAGATTTCCGCACAGCTATTATCACAGCTTAGAAGGATTATATGCCTCTCCCGCATAGAAATATTCTCTAAGGTCGTCAGGTTTGTTCAGCCCAAAGCCAGCGGTTTCTTACACGGGAGCGAGAGCTGAGATACTCCTTTATGGCCTGCAGGAAAACTTGACTCTCTCCTTCCGTGCAGCCTGCCCTCCTCCTGTCCAGGTACTTCAAAGCATTTAAACTGCCTTGCCCTGTGGATGCAGCAGTGAGAGTTTAGGGCAGGAAGGGGTGGAAGGAAAAAAAGCTTCCTCCCATCATTCTCACATTTGCTTTGGAGCGAGGCAAACCTTGGGGCGATGGATTTCTTCACCCCAGTTTGGAGCTCCCTGCGTACTCAGTGCTAATCCATTTTGTTTCCCAATTTTCCTGCACGGATAGGGTACACATAATGGTAATTCCACCATACATAGCTTCCCCTAACATCACTCCCTTTACACAGTCCATGAGGCTGAAGTCCTGAGAGTAAGACAAAGCAAAGGAAAGAATAACTCCAGTGGCGTCATAAGTGGTTACATGATGTCACAGGAGGTTCTTCTCCGAGATCTCATTTCCTTCTAACTGTGCAGGGGCAATTGGATTGCCTAGTTCCCCAACATCCTCCCAAGATATCCTAATTTGACCCAGGCAGGTGATAGGAGGTTGGCCTCATATTGTTCAAAGTGTAAGTGATGTATGACAAGAATAGAGTTAAAACGAGTACTTCTGGTTTTTCAGATGTTCACCGAGTTGTTTCAAGGCAGCTCAGCTCTATTCTTATCCTCCCGCTTTTCAGGAAAGGAAGACAGAACATCCCTCAGGAAGAGAAATCAATATTCTTCTGACACTTAAAACACAAACAAAAAAGAAATCCCAGTTTCCCTAGTGAGAAATTGCCAATTTAATTTTGCCATCTTCAGTAAGTCACTCTTTTGAATACTGTCAAGGTGCCAACATATTCATTATGGGCTCTACTTTCTTTTGTCACAACTACTTTGCTCAGGAAACGTACTCTTTTAGTTGCCTTGCCTGTGTCCAAGAGGAAAACAACATTCATGAAATCAAGGCCCCACCTAGCAGTTTTAATCTCTAACCTTACCACAATGAGAGAACTAAACAATATTTAGAATTGTGTTATTTTTAACAAGTGTTTGAAAAAATGATCACTTATTTTGCAACAAGAAAAATGTTAAAATAAACCACAAGCATGTAATGATATGTATAGATACATGAAGAATATGTTGGTGTCCATGTGGGCAGAGACAGGTGATTCACAGCAAAAAAGCCTGACAAATCGAGTTATAGTCACACTTCATAAATCAGTCAAACTTACTTAGCGTTCGCCTTTCAGTAAAGTATAGAAGTCAATCTGTATTGTGCAAGGCACAGATCAAACATACAGACTTGGTTCCTTCTCTCTTGCCAGTACATGTCCGTAGAAGTATACATGGTAAGTATTTAAAAAACAAACAAACAAAAAACCCTAGGCAGGCTGATAAAACAACCTGGGGGGAAAGCACAAGGAACCACCATACTGATGCTGGCCAGGGAGCAGAACAGCGCTCACAGCAAACGTGCGCCTTCACCGCTGCTGAAGGTGCATCGCTGCTAACGCTGGTGCTGGCACCACACAGACTGGAAGAGGAGTAGTCCCCAAAACTGAGCCTTGGTTGTCATTAGGAAGGACTATGAATTATAGAACAACCGTTAAGACCTTGTGCGGGACGGTGAAAAGCCACAGAGGGATGTTCCGTAGCAAGGACGAGCTGCAGCTCTCTCTCGAAGGCTCCTTTTACTCCTGCACACGCGTGCGAGTTGAGCCCAAGGACACTGAAAAGCAAACACTGCCTGCCTGGCAATTAACCAAAATCCTCTGCATCCAGGTAACTGCAGCAGAAAGGCAGGTTTTGTTACCAAATACAGTCCTGAGAAGCCATGGCGGTTCTCTCCTCAAAGACAAGCAAAGCATATCAAAGCATTCCAGAAGAAAGCAGTAGAAGGTGAAATATTAAATAAAAATACAAAGCAAGCAGGATTCACTGATTCAGTGACAAAGGCGTGTGGCTTATTGCTACCCCCTTGACAGTGAAAGCTCAAGACCTGGGCATGACTATATTTACAGGAGGTTTCAGGAAGTTTGCTTACACATAATCATGTCTCCTGGTAGCAGAGATACCCCTGAAATACTTCTTCATTCTATCAGCGTGTTCTAATCATCAGCCTTTCCATAAAGCAATGAAAAAAACTCTTTTACTTTAATCTACTTTCATCTTTCTTCCAGGCTTTGCCTGCCTTTCCCCAGTTGTCTTCTGTTCCCTTCCTCCTCCCTGAAAAACTCACTCTCTTACCTCTAAATCTTCCCCTTTAGGCTTCACTAATCCTGTTTTACTGATTCGCATTCATAAATTCTTTCTCTTTCTCTCCCCAGTTTTTCCTCCTGCTCCGATGCCCTGGTTAATCCTTTCTTTAACCCATACTCTGGCGTCCCAGATGACAAATCCTTAATTTATCTGCTTGGTAAGCTTTATCTTCAGAGGTACCCAGACTTCCTACCTTCAACATCTTTCCCCATCGCACACCTCCACATTCAGATGCTGTCAATTCCTCCCCCCGCATCCTCCCCCCGCATCAATCTTCTTTACCTCTTCAGAGACACATTTCATAGTGCCTGGTTTTCTGATCTGAGAGTACTGCAGCTACTGTGAGCAGAGAACAGAGGATATTCTGATGACCCAAGGGGCTGTGGAAAGAAAGCTTGTATAATCATGCTGTTACAGACAGCCCCTGACCGCTGCACTGAGGTGGGGCAAAAGCAGCAATAAATAAAACAGGCAGGGAGACAATGGGGTGGGGTGTGATTTGAAGAAGCCACAAATTGCTTTCACGGTATAAAAAGGATGTAATGGTCAGCGGCAGCATATGTTATGCATCTAGCAGATAATAATCAGGGCTATAATTGCTCAAAGATTTCAGAAGAACCACCAGGCAGTAAGTCGTGGACGCTCCTGACTTAGTTTTGACATGTAAAATGAAAACAACATTAGCATTACTAGATAAAAAGGGGAACGTTTCACTCACTTTCACTATAGTCTCATATTCCATTTCTACTTCTGTTTTTCCTCTACTTCTTGTTCTTCTATGCTCTTTAAAACAAAACCAAGGATCATTTCAATTTGATGTGATTAACAATTACTCTAAGCTGAAATGACATAATTCTGTGCATTACAGTAAAATAACATCTCTTTAATCTATGCACTTAATGAAAACCAAAAGATTACTTCATGCTTCTGTGTGCTGGCTCATTAATATTTGACTAGGTACATGTTAGCCAGAGAAACCAGTCTATTTATCACAACCTGTCACTCCGTACTGAAAAAGGACAGTATTTCAACTGTGTTATGCGGGAGATCCGGGTTTAGTTGAAGTTGCAGCTTACGCACATCGCAAGAAGTGTCACTTTTTTTCTGGGAGGGGGAAAGCAGCATGTCTCTGAAGGGAAAAATGAGCATCAGCCATGCCACCTGAAGTATGTGCTTGAAGAAATACCTCTGGCCATTGCAGCAGGAAGGCTTTAGACTGCAATCATGCCTAATCCCATGAATTCAGTGCAGTTTGGACGGAAAACCTTCAAGGACATCGCCAAGTGCTTACAAGAATGGTGCTGCTCCTTCACCAGACAGCCTATTCCCTTTGAGTCAGTCTTGCACGAGTGCCTGAGCAGGACAAGGTGTGGGACACGCTGCTGTTGGAGATGTTACTACCGTTCACTCGCCTTCGTCCTGAGTTGGCGTTTACCTCTGGAGCTGAAACTTCTGTTAGATAGTTCAAAAGAGCGGCAGGATCGTCAGATTGTCCCATCTACCTAGAAGACCCTGACATGCTGCAGGCAGCTACGTGCTCCTCAGAGCTGACTCACTGGGATAGCTGTGGTTCATCACATGCCACTCTGATCACCCTGAACTTAAACTCTCTCTCTTGAAGAGGTCTAAGGTCTGGATCAGAGAAGTCCTGAAGGTAATCCAGCAGCAATCAAAAAGACCCAAGTTTTTTAGTTTGTGCCGTTACTAGAAGGTGGCTATAAAATCATAGCCAGGAACTGAAAAAATGGGTGACTTTTTGGTTCTTGCCAAGTGCAGTCTTTAAACAACGTTGCCATGCCATTTTCAAGTGGCTGCAGTATGTTTCATTCTCTGTTGTGTTAAATTATTGTGGCAACTGTCTTGTTTTACTCTAAAGTGAGTGTTATTTCAGTATTAAGCAATTTACTGCTTCATATGGGTAGTAATTGCATGAGTATATTGCTGAACTTGGTTCTGTTTGTAGAAGTTAAAGCACAGCTCTTTTATGATACAGTTGGTGCCACTAAAATCTTGGCACTTCCCACATCGTATACTTTATACTCTATCACGTATCCAAGACAGTATTGTATTTACATTGTCCAGGAGCCAGAGCTGTAATGGCATCCAGTGTAATGTGGTGATACTAGGTGAGAGTCAGCCCTGGAATAGTTGCATGCAAGTTCACTGAGGTAAACTGTATTTTATCTCAGCTGTCAGGTTTGTCACAAATGAAATTGAAAATTGAAACCTTTAAAAAGAAATAGAAACAGACAATAGCACAAAATAAAGCTTCTCGTTTAATATTTAAAGATTAAATAGGTTAATAACTGAAGTAGTACTTTTAAAATGTGTTACAAAACATATCCTCTCGAAGTATTTTCTTAAACTGAATATAATTATGGAGTCACTTCCTCGGTAATGGGTGAAGAAGCAGAACAATACGTTTGAGCACTGTGTCCTCATTTTACTTTCAGGCAGGTTCATAAATGCCTTCTAACTGAGTCACAATGGCAGGCAAAAAAATATAATTAGTTAACAACGTGGCTGGATTTGATTGAAATTCTGTGTAAGGGGACTTATGCCACCTTCTTATATTGTGTTGCAACAAATGAAGGAAACCATTTTATTTATCTTCTCCTTGAACTCTTTCTCACCTTGGTAGCAGCGGGCTGTAAAACTACTGCATTAACACTGACACAAATGGTGTTATAAGATACATGTTGGGTATAAGATGGTCAGGAAATGGGTGCCAGTGATTGTGGTAGCTTGCACCATTTTGTCATGCAAAATGAATCTAAAATATTAGCTGAGGAAGCAGAAGGTGACAGTTTGTAGCAGAAAAAATGTAGCAGCAAGAAGGTGAAATGTAAAGTGAAAAAAGAAAGCTACTTTGTTTTGCATAGTTCCTTATCGCTTCTCCTGATGCACTCCATTTTTCTGTCCCTTTGATCTATATACTTCACTGGTTTTGTGCTCCCACTGACAGACAAATCAGATAAAGTGCCTTACTTAAAACTGGCAATTTTTACAAAATTACATATAAGTTTGCAGCACACAAACATTTTGTTACTGTGGATGTTGGCCTAGTTACTTCAATGAGGCTTGTAACTACTGAAGGCAGGTTAAGATTTGATGAGAAATTCCCTCAAAACCAGTCTTGGAAAACACTGCTAAGCATCCCCTTGCTAAATTCCTTAGTTTGTGCAACATGATTACTTTTCCTTACTTTTGGCACCGGTTTTAGCCAGCCTCCCTGTTAAAGTGCACATCTTGGTTTGTGAAAATGTGTGTCTACCTTGCATGCAGGTGACTGCAGGTATGTATTGACTAGTGCTCACGCGCCAGGACTTGGGTGTGCAAAGTAGGCACGCATTTGCAAACGTGCAGATTTTACCTACCTGGAGGATGAACATCAGGCTCAAAATAAGTAAACATTTCAATAAAAGCAACATCCCAAAATGATAACAAAAACCCCTCTACTTAATCAAACAGGATTTTCCCTTTGATTATTTATCAAAACACAGTCCACTGAAAGTAACAGAGATATCTGGATAGCATGAATTCCACAGTGACAGGAAATTATAAGGTTACAAGATACAACTATTTAGCTGTAAGTAGGGTACACAGCACTCAAAACCTATACTGTTTATAGAGCTTTTAACAATATAGTCGGTGCGCTTGCACCATTAGGATTCTCCCGATCCAAATGACGCTAGTGTAGCAAACGTATATTATATATTATGCACACATATTTACCACAGGGGTGCTCACTAGTTTTGGAGCTCCAGGCATTGTCTTGCAGCATAAGAAAGAGAAAGTCAGAGAGAAACACAGGGATTAAAACAAACACCGAATTTCAAGCTCTTTTCTGTTCTGATGGTCATGACTGTAGTTGTCATAATTACCTGCTCTTTAAAATCCCCAAGCAACTTCTTGATTCTAGTGCGAGAAGTATCTTTCTGTATGTGCAGACATTGCATTAAGCAGCTTTTTGTGAAATCTCTAATGCATAGATAATACAACGCAGAAAATAGGTATACTTTCCCAAATCATAACCACGCAACCAAGTAACTATTGCCTCTATTAGTGCTGAGGCAACATTTTAGAGAAGACACACATGGGAACTAGACTGTAGAAGAACACTAATGACAGGGGGAAGTGTTAAAACGCTATCTGCGACTCAAAGTCAATGTCTACCTAATGCTGGTTTCCCAGCAGCTTTCTGAAGACACCAGACATCAGAAAGTCCAGAAATCAATCCAGTGCAAGTTTAAGCTTTTAAAATACTGAAGTTGCATATATTCTGGTTTATCTGGTGATCCTGAATGTGCCCTCACTTGTGCAAAGGGCCACAAAAAAGGCTGCATTTTATATTTCTGGTTTCTAAGCTGCCATGAAGAGCTGTGGTGTGTTCTCATTCATTGTGACATTCCTATAATGAACTACTGCCACAATTAGTCCAGATTTGTATTCTTGCTAGCACATAGAAATGTGGCACAGAACCTGGTCATTCACCACAATAAATTGTGCTGACCTAAGACCTCCAATCAAATGTTGTTAATATGACTGTATTCTTTACAATAATCTGTTGTGAAGCTTTAAAAATACAGTGAAGGAAAGTGTATTGTATCAGGGAAAAGAAAAAGGGAATGCTGCTTATCGACAAGGGCTGCCTCACAGCACATCATTTAGTTCTCTATATAATTCACACCTCTCCCAGTTTTTCAGCAATTTACATGTGTTGCTGTTGGCTCTGCCTTTGGCAAGCACAGTGTTTTCCGAGACCAGAGCAGCACAAAATCACCATGTTAAAGAAAGAAGAAAAGATTTTAAAAAGCAGTATGAGGGGAAATGGAGGTTTTAAGCAATGGTGCAACCCAAGTGACTTAAGATTTTTAGAAATGAAACATTCATGCCTAGCTCCTTCTCCTGTTTCTGTAGTATATTGCTCTTATCAAAGGTTCAGCTGGCTAAAGGATACCTCTTCACTGGTGGCAATTGGTGGGACATATTTCTGCTGAAACTCTGGCCAGATGACTAAGAAGCAAGCAGTGCTCACTGGCCACTAAACTGGGGCAAAAAAACAAGCCATCTGGAAAACGGTATATACTGTCCATTATTTAATCAATGGACCAAGCAAAAGTGTCTCGGTCTTTATGGAAGAAGCTCTGGCCTAAATTACTAAGCCATGACTCGCTTTCAAAATTTGTTTCCAGCTGTGTTGTAGAGTTCATCTTCAAAATAATGTGCCAGATGTGTTTTACATAAGAGTGTTCTTTATATAGGTATCTACAAACAGAGGATTGAATTGCAAAGCCAAGCAAAAAAGGAAAAGAAAGGATAGAGGGCATGCTTTCCCAGGGGTGTAATCTACAGCAAGGTTGCACAAACAGACACTTAGGACAAAATCTAGCTCATGGCAACACAGAAACAGTACAAAAAACATTTAAGGTAGCAACTTGCAGTCATATTTTGAAAGTTGTGAAATCTTATTATTTTCTCATCTTCCTTGGATCAGAAAAGATCCTCCACATCCCTGTCACAAAGACAACGCACGTGTAGGTTTGCTTATTAATTGATCCGAGACTGACTGTGAAGTAGACAGACGGAGAAAGAAATGCAGGAGGAAGAGAATGGTCCTGGCTTTGATCTCACTAAGTGAAACAGTAAACCCAATTCAGATTAATTCTACTGCGTGCCAGTGAAAATCACTGGTTTAACAACAATGTGAGTGAAACCCATCACTATGCAATTTCACACTTAAGTTACACATACACAATCCAACTGCAGCAAGAATAGTCTTC